GGGTGCCCCAGCACAACCCACACTGCAGGGTCAAGGGAGAGCCCAGGACCAAGAGATGGGCTGTGCTCTCATTCATCCTTGAATAACTCCACACCTGCAGCCTGGCAGCAGATCTGCTCCTTCCCCCCTCCTGGCATTTTCAGATCTGGGGTCTCCTAACACAACATAAAGGACACTTTACATCACTCAAACTGCCTCAAAACTTGCACTGTTTATGTAGTTTGGGGAGGGTTTTTTTGCTTTCTCTCTGGAGCTGATGTGATGCAAAGGGGAAAGGACAGGATGAAGACTTGGCAGAAGTGGTTTCTGCTCCTAGATAGGCACCATCCTGCCAGAGGCTTGTGATCAAACATTTTCCCTTCTCTCTGCTTTGGCTTCCCTGTTTTTAAGAGGGAAGCAGACAGAATTTTAGAGACTACTTTCTGTTACTTAAGAACTCTTTCAATGACCTAGAAATAATTCTTTTATTGCAATGATCAGCTGAAGAGCTCTACCTTTCCAGCCCTTACATTGCTACTTTCCCCTCAGCTTTATGCTGATTGACCTGGAAATATAAACTCTAAAGCTCACCTAAAAGATTTCTTTTGTTGTGTGGCTCCTTGTGGATCTCTGGACTTTCTGCTGCCATCATGTTTGTGGCAGAGAGAACAAGTGTCTATTATTACATGTTTTTAGTTTTAAATTAAGGGTAAAACTGTAGATCACATGGAATATTTTAGGGAATGCCATGGAAGAGTAGCAGCCTGTGAGCAAGGCCCAGTTAGAAAGGGTTGTTTAGCCAAAAGAGAGGGGAAAGGGAATATTTGTGGGCAGCCCTTACACAACAATGGTACATGGAAACCAGCTGGAACATCCTTGCAAGACATGCAGGAACATCCAACGGATGCAAAGTAGCATCTGAAACTGGAGAAAGCTTCTTTATATAACCTGGTGAAAGGGAAGGCAGCAGATGATACAGAACAGAATCTAACAATCTGCTAACAGCACAGTTCCAGTGTAGGTTCCTGTGTAATTCTGACAGAGATGCTCATCCATGTGGTTCTGTGGATCTCAGGACATTGGCAACAGGAGCAGAAATAGCCAAGCACCACAGACATGTCCTGACAGACCACAAACTGCTTTGGGGAATGCACAGATTTCACAGAGGCACAGGATCTCTGGCTGTGCCCAGAGCTTGGGAACAAATCCCTATTTACGTGGTCCATAAGCTTTTCCTGTGGCTCATCACCAGACCTTGGGTACAACCCCAAGAGGAGCCTGTAATGCTTGGCAAAACTGGCTCAGGTTCACCACAAAAAAAAAAATTAAATTAAATTCAATGAACAGAAACATGTTAGACTTTGGGAGTTTCTTTTAGGGAGAGGAAGAGAAGCATCTTTGTCCCTAACCTCATGTTCTTTTAGTGAAGTAACAGTTTGGGGACCAAATCTTAACAGCACCCTATTTTTTTTTAATAAAATAAAACAATCCATCTGCTATTGCAGAACATGTCCCAGGAGGCAGTCCAAGCCCATTGTCACAGCCATGTCCATGCCATTAAGTCAAAATAACTACAAGGATGTACATAAACACTGCAAGCAGAAAAAACTAGAAAGAAAGGGCTACAAAAACTAAGCACATAGAAGTATCATGGCAAGTCAGCCAAGATCAAACCCTTTATTTTTTCTGGGAGAAGAGCAAGGGATTGGACAGAGTCAGTTGAATAGTCCATTTCTGCAAGGACATTCAAAATGCAACTTCAGACATTTCTTACATTAGAATTTCTTTTTCTTTCAGCCAGCTTGGGAATAGTCTATGTAAAAACAGTAAAAAGCATGAAATTTATCCAGAAGCAGCAAACTAATACCTTCCTGTATGTTCAGAGCTTTTGAGATTGCCCAAGAAGTTATTAACCTGTGAACATATCTCTTAAAATGAATAAATTTGGGTGAGACAAGTTCAGGTCAGAGTGTAACTGTTCTCTTCAGTGAATGGAGCAGAAGACATTGCTCTTGTTTCATGTTACAGCTTAGAAGGTAGTTGAGCCTCAAAATAATGTACCAGCTAAAACACACAGTAGGGCAAAACATTAAGGTAATGGAAACTCAACATTTCTCATGTTCCACACACATGAATAGAAACCGAGTCAGTACATTAGACAATTGACTGGCTTTGCTTGAATGCACAGAGGAATAAATGGAAACATCCTTATTTCCTATCCCAGAGGGCAATTATTTCACAGCCTGGTTTTGTGCATTAAGAAAAAGCAAGATTCCATTGTCTGGTAGCTAAAATATCTTCCTATAGATGCTGTATAAGCAAGTCCAGCAGTAAAAACAGGAGGAAAGGACAGAGTTCTAGCATTGTGTTCTCTAAACCACCTCATACCATACCCAGAAGATTTGTGCATATATAAAATCCATTCAAATATATTCTCAGAGCAGTATAATCTCAGAAGTTCTGGGAGTCATGTGCCCTGGCTGCTCTTGTGCCTGCAGATGGTCCAAAATGCTCATTTCTCAAATGCTAACAAATGCAAAGGCTGGAATTTCACACCTCTTTAGGAGAGAAGGGGCCTGGATTGCAACTTAAAAAAAACCAGCTTTCTCCCACTGATGGAATCATTCTTTTCTTTGAGCTTCCCTTCCCTTTCTTCATCCTGCACACCTTCAATGGTTTTCCTTTAGCCTTCCAATGAAAAGTGACAAGATTAAAATGATTCATAAACCAAATATTCACAAATTAGGCATATTGTCTCTGCTGCACATCTGTGAAGGAAACACTGCCATGGTGTGAACCACATCAGCTCCCAGTCAGGTGTCCCCACTCCTGTTTGCCCTGGCCACATGTCTCAAGGACTGATCAGGGGTTGAACTGCCAAGGACACACTTAAAGTCCTGCAAAAGGAACTGAAAATAAAAGGGCAATTTCTTTTCAGGAAGGTTTGCTTGGCTGTTCTGCACCTGAGACACTGAAAGGCTCAGATTCTGCCCCAGCACTACAGCACAAAGTGCTTTGGGGACTCTCTACAAACTGTTGTAAACATCCTCAAATCAGTAAAACTGGCCTGAGACTGGGTAGGAAACCTATCAAATATCACATCTCAGGGTTTTTTTGCAAATATTAATCATTAGAGACAGATTATAAAGTCAGATTCACCAGGAGACCAAACTGGTAGGATGGATTTTTATTAAGGAAGCTCTTGCAGTTGATGTCTCAGCTGTTTAAAGAGGCAGCAAACATGGTCATGACATCTTAGGAAGGAAAGGGGGGAAAATATATTAAAAAAAAAAAAGATTCTTGGAGATACATAACGTGTTTAATTGAAACCATTAGTTTTACTGGCAAACAGCTTCATCTTTCTGTTGTGCTAATCCGAACAAAGTGCTGCAATTATGAGTCAATACAGAACGTCCTCTAGTGCTACTCACCCCACATTCCCCAAGCAGAGAAGGAAAACAGAGCTGGTTCTCAGTTAACAAAACATTCCATGCTTCTAGCCAGAATACTTTTATTATATTGGTTATCATATACATCAGAATGATATTGGGAACATGTACAAATATGTAGAGAGAGAGCTCAGAACCTCCAGTACTCACATACACACTAACTCACACACTCAGGTTTTGTTTTTGATTTTTGTTTTTGTTTTTTTTTTTTTTTTGCATGTCTAGTCAGTTATCAGGTGAATGATGCACAAAATTATTGCTTTGTGAACAAACACCTCAGATTAAATCTAATCTTCAGTGGCAAGAATTGAGATTCAATTTTAAAAAAAAATAAATCTTAAATACCCTGTATAACATACCTGTGCATAAACCTAAAGATATGTTTAGCTTACCCATTACCTTTGAAATACTTACCAAAAAAATTAACATTTGAAACCCATTTATATAAAAAAAAAGTATTAAAAAGTTCACCATTATTTACAGATCCGATTAAATTACACATAAATAAATATTTACATTCAGCACACTGCTTCCCTTAATACACATAAAGCCTCCCTGGAAAGAGTTTTTGGCCTTAATAGGCAAAAAAAAAAAAAAAATTTTAAAAAAAAAATAAAAACCAACAAAAAAAAAGTTATGTGCCTATTCTTTCAAGTTTGTCCCCCCCAATTTAAAAACAATATAAATATGTGAATAAAGCTGCAATATCCTTAGACACAGAAAAAGTGAATTTTTCTAAAAGCTTTTTTTTTATTTATTTTGAGCTATTGCTTGTTATAAAAAATACCAAGAGAATACAAACTGCAGCCAACGTGGCTGCAGGTTTTCCTTTGTAAAAGCCTGAATATTTCCATAAAAATAAGCATGTCAAATGCCATCAACTTTTAAATCTAGAAGGATTTTAGTACTCTCTTATGTGATCTGGAAACAAAGAAAAAAAAAAATCAAAATATAATAGAATAACAACAACAAAAAAAAAACCAACCCACGGAATAATCTTTACTATTTTCAGGTGTTTATAAAAAATTTTTCATGTACATAAATCTATATACCATTTTTAATACTGCTTTATTGTTACTGTTGCCTTTAGAGAGAATAAAACCCTGAAATTGTTTCAGATAGCCAACTGGTTCCACCTAAAATCTTGAGAGCTCCACACCAAGCTGGGCACCACTAGGTACTTAGGTGTGGCAGAAAAAAAATTAAAAAAAAAATATCTAAATAGATCTCTCTGTATATTTTCCATCAACCCCTTTATAGCACCACTTTTACAGCAAAGGATTCGATACACTCTGTACCAAGTACTTATCTTCAGGTAATTGTTTCCACAGAAAAGGGACACTGCAGCTTTTAGAAAGACTTGATCCAGGAGAAGTGAAGATCCTGAATGGGTTTTCTCCCCTTTTTTTCCCTTCCTTTCTTTTTTTTTTAAAAAAAAAAATCATCAAAAGATAAAACCAAAAGAAAAAAAAAATAAAAGAAAAAGAAACCCCCAAATCTCTATGTTCCCCCCCCAGCAAGAAGAGTCCCAAGTCTGTGTTTAGGAGGAAGAATAAAGTCTGGTTTTTCCTTTCACTTCCTGTGCTTATCCATTTTGTCCATGGTTTTGTTGGTCTCTGCAGGGCTCTGGTCTCCAGCGTTCATGTAGGATTTATCTGCTATTTTTAACGCCTCGTTTAGGTAGTTCTGGACGGATGTCATGGCAGCACAGATGGCAGCACTCCCAAAGCCATGGGTGATCAGGCTAAAATGAGTCAAACAGCCCTGGATTCCAGGGTCCAAGATGGGACTGGGCCTCGTGTTCCCAAGAGGAGTTCTGTCCTGAGTGAGGAGGTCTGTGAATTCCTTACAGATCTGCCTGCAAGACACACAATTCACATAAAATTTACACCGTGTTGGGAGTTGATTCAAAACCAAATCAATCCATGGATATCACAGGGAAATCTGTATCAAATATATATCTGGCAGTTTTTGTGGGGATTGGATGACTTCAGTCCTGCCTCAGCAGCAATGCCTAAAATGAAAGCCTGTTTAGAAATTAAATTTAAAATTAAAGCACC